CATGGGAGCGGTGGAGTGATGAGGAGGTGTCGGCGTTCTGGCGATTTACTCGGGGGGACTTCCGGCCGGGGACTTCGGGTGGCAGTATACGCCGTGAAGTTGTTTGCGGCCTGCCATCAAACCCAAAGCAGAAGAAGAAGAAGTGACGTCAGCGGCTCCCTCAGGGACTTATTCCGGTGTGAACGCGATTTACTAGATAGTTCCAGGAAATAAAAGTTCTGGGGACTATTCCTTGGAAAAGTACTTGGTGTGAAATCGCCTATTGGCACACTTCTTTCTGTCACTCCAGAAGGCAGTGGCTGTGAACCCTGACCTCAACACCACACACACACACACACATAAACACATACACACACACACACACACACACACACACACACACACACACACACACACATACATATACACACATACACTCATACACACACACAAACACTCATCGCGTTTGCTGACCATCTGCAGCGTCCAGCAGCGACGCCTCATCTGCGCTCACAGCTGATTGGCTGAGGAGAGGTCTGGTCATGTGACAGTATGACTTCCTCCTCTGGACATGAACTCCTTTAGTTACATTTTTTACATTTTGCACGTGCACTTTTAGTTTATGGACATGTGACGGAGAGAACACGTGAAGGAGAGGACACGTGAAGGAGAGGACACGTGACGGAGAGGACCACGTGACGGAGAGGACAACGTGAAGGAGAGGGACACGTGACGGAGAGAAACGTGAAGGAAGGACACGTGAAGGAGAAGACACGTGACGGAGACGGAACCGCTTGACCGGAGAAGGACACGTGAGCCGGAGAGAACACGTGAAGGAGAGGGACGCGTGACGGGAGAACGCGTGAAGGAGAGGGACGCGTGAAGGACAGGACGCGTGAAGGAAGGACACGTGAAAGAGAGGAACACGTGAAGGAGAGGACACGTGAAGGAGAGGACGCGTGAAGGAGCAGTGAAGGAGAGGACACGTGAAGGAGAGGGACAGTGAAGGAGAGGACGCGTGGAAGGAGAGGACGCGTGAAGGAGAGGACATGTGACAGGAGAGTGAAGGAGAGGACACGTGAAGGAGAGGACCGCGTGAAGGAAGGACACGTGAAGAAGAGACACGTGGTACCATGAACTCTCACACTGTGAACTCTCACCTGTGAACTCTCACCTGTGAACTCTTCTCACCTGCTGTCAGGGTACGTGCTTCATTGTGGCCAACATGAACAAAACAAACGCACCTGAACTCACCTGCAGGTGGGGGGGGGAGGTCAATCACACAGGAAGTATTTCCTCCTGCAGCAAGGACCTCTGCATTCCTCCCTCACTCATCTCCTTTCTCCTCCCTCCTCTCCTTCCTTCCTCTCCTCTCTGTCCCTTTGTTGCATGTTGTCTTTAATCTCCACTTTACCTCTGTGTTTAATAACTTCTGAAGATGTTGTGGAAGTTATCAGAAGTCCAAACCTAAATATAACCAAGAAAGCAGTGAATGATTAATCGTTGGTCGTGAGTTCAATGTGCCGATAACTGAAGTGGAAATATTTAAGATAAATATTATATAAGTTTACTTAAATAAAACAGCGACAGGTATTTTAATGAAATGGCAAAATGATAAATATTCGGAGTTGTAGGGAAATACCTAAGATTCCCTTTAATTTAAGATTTTGATTTAAAATTACATCTTTATTTATTGGTGTCCGATAAGACGTCCTCTTTTAATATCCGTCTTTTATTCTCTGAACTAACCTCACGACTGTGTTCACGTTAAACAGAAATGATTCTCTGCTTTAAGACTCTCAAACAGTTGACTCCACCAGGTCCCACCAGGGTTCCACCAGGTTCTCCACCAGGTCCCACAAAGGATCTCACCAGGTCATCAACACAGGGTCCACCAGGTCCCCCACACAGTCTCACCAGGTCCCACCAGGGTCCCACCAGGTCTCACCAGGATCCCGCCAGGTCTCCACCAGGTCTCACCCAGGTCCCACCAGGTCCCCACCAGGTCCCACCAGGTCTCACCAGGTCCCACCAGGTACTCACCAGGTCCCCACCAGGTCTCACCAGGTCTCCCCAGGTCCCACCAGGTCTCACCAGGATTTCACCAGGTCTCACCGGTACCAGGTCCCACCAGGGATCTCACCAGGTTTCACACAGGTCCCTCACCGGATCCAGAGTCTCACCAGGGTCCCCACCAGGTCTCACCAGGTTCACCAGGTCCCACCAGGATTCACCAGGTCCCAACAGGGTCCCACCAGGGTCCACCAAGGTCTCACCAGGTCCCACCAGGGTCTCACCAGGTCCACCGAGTCCCACCAGGTCTCCACCAGGTCCCACCAGGTCCTCACCAGGTCAGTCCACCAGGTCTCACCAGGCCTCACCAGTGTCCACCAGGTCTCACCAAGGTCCCACCAATCCCACCAGGTCTCACCAGGTCCCACCAGGTCCACCAGGTCTCACCAGGTCCCACCAATGTTCACCAGGTCCCGCCAGGGTCGCTCACCAGGTCTCACAGGTCTCACCAGGTCCCACCAGGTACCACCAGGTCTCAGCCAGGCCCACAGGTCTCACCAGGGGTCTCCCCAGGTCTCACCAGGTCTCACCAGGTCACACCAGGTCTCCACCAGTCACACAGGGTCTCAACCAAGGTTCTCAACCAGGTTCCAGGTCCACCAGGTTCCCAGGTCGCCACCAGGGTCTCACCAGGTCTCCCAGGGTCCTCACTCGGTCATACCCACCAGGTCCCACCAGGTCTCACCAGATCCCCCCCAGGTACACCAGGTCTCACCAGGTCCCACCAGGTCTTCACAGGTCCAGGTCCCACCAGGTCCCACCAGTCCACCGAGGTCTCACCAGGTCCACCAGGGTCACACCAGGGGGTCTCACACAACGGTCCCACAGGTCTTCACCAGGTCCCACCAGGTCCCCACAGGTCCCCACCAGGTCCACCAGGTCTCACCAGGTCTCAACCAGGTCTTCCACAGGTCCCACCAGGTCCCACCAGGTCTCACCAGGTCTCCCCAGGTCCACCGGGTCCTCACGCAGGTCAAACCAGGTCACACCAGGTCCTCCCCAGGTTTCACCAGGTCTTACCAGGTCCAGGTCCCACCAGGTCCACGGGTCTCAACCAGGTCACACCAGGTCTCACCAGGGTCCACACAGGGTCTCACCAGGTTTCACCATGGTCTCCCAGGTCCCACCAGGTCTCACCAGGTTCCCACCAGGTCTCCCACCAGGGTCTCACCAGGTCTCACAGGTCTCACCAGTCCCACCAGGTCTCACCAGTCTCACCAGGGTCACACAGGTCCTCACCAGGTTCCCCAGGTCCACAGGTTCACCAGGTTTCACCCAGATCCCCACCAGGTCACACGCAGGTCTCACCAGGTTTCACCAGGTCCCCCACCAGGTCTCACCAGGTCCAGGTCCCACCAGGTCGCCACCAGGTCTGCCCCAGGTCCCACCAGGTCCTCCCCAGGTCTCCCCAGGTCCAACCAGGTCCACCAGGTCTCCAACAGGCTCACCAGGTCCCACAGGTCCTCACCATGGTCTCAC